ACATAAGCCACTTTCAAGGCCGTGAGAAAGAACATTAACTTGTCCTTCCAATGGTTAAAGTTAGTGCCAGATCCATCAAGACGATCCAACTTAACAAAGTCTTGGTTCATCACTTTCATGGCAGACTCTTGTGTTGATTCCATGATAAATATTGTCTTAAGATTGAAAGAAATCGGGGGATGGAAACAAAAGAAACAACACAATTTGAACCAAAGAACATGGAGAAAAGAAACTTTATTGATGGAATCTGAAATTCAACAACTAACGGAAATTCACAAAGAATTGAAAGTGTTCTACGCGTATCAAACACTGCCCTTAAGAGACTATATGCCCCCACTAGATTGCAAACAGGGTTGAATGTCGATTTGCCTCTAGGACTTAAGAACACAAGAACATGCAATTTGCAACTTATTGAATGTTCGTTAGGATTTTGGAATGCAAAAGTTAAATGAATTCCTGCACTAGTTCACCTATTTATAGGCAACATTTCCAGAAATAAAAGTATACAAAATAAGTACACAACCCTTGGCTTGTAGGAAATAACCACCAAGCATGTGAAGGGTTGCTAACTTAATTTTATCCTTCAATTCTAAATTAATTATTTTATTTTACAAGCTAAAATTTCCAACAATTAATACTACCTTCGTCCCACAAAAATAGTTTTCAAATTTGTACTAAAAATAGTATAAAACTCAAGATTCAATATGGACTTTTTTTGTGGGACGAAGTAATTATGTTATAGTTTCCTTTTTTAAATAGTATCATATTTTTTCTGTGAAGCGAATTGTAATCTATCTTCCTGTTTTTGAAATTCAATCCAAAATATTCCTTCGGTTTAAGCGGACACAACTCTCGTTTTAAAATTTAAAATTTAAAAGTTTCACTCAATATCAGGACATTTATGATCATTAATTCATTAACTAGGAGATTTAATTTTCCTTTATCCATTATCAATGATTTATTATTTTAAAATGTTTTTGACAAATTATTTAAAAAATAAAGAAAACAAAAAGAGAAAAAAATGTCCCCGAACATAACCACCACCACAATCCTAATTTATCAACTTTGTTTCCTCCCTGGCATTTCCTTAACCTCGCGGAAAATCAATGGCTGCTCAAAATTGGATTGTAACTAATGAAAAGGCAAATATACCATCCCCGCTAAATATGTATACTTATCACCTAAGAGTAAAATTATAATTTTATGGTAAAAATAAAAATTTCTTTTAACAGGAAAACAAAAATAAGTGATCATGATACTGCACATCAATCACTATTCTTTTAATATTTCTTTTCATTATACATATCATTTCCCAAAAAGAAAATAGTTATAAATAGGTCTAGGTCAAATCTTTCTCAATGAATTAGTTTATTTAGTATAGTATTTTAAGTCTCTACTTCCTCAATATTTTTTTATTATAAAGAAGTCTAATATTTAAAATTGAGAGTAATAAAGATCACCTTATTTATAACAACCCATGGGGTTCTACCTCAAAACCAATTGGCTCTAAGGAGAGTAGCTATGGAGTTTATACATTGATACTCAGAGTCTTCAAATGCTGATATGGGTTTAAGACTCTTTAACACTTCCCCATAAGCCCAACGTATTTTTTTTGGGTTGGGTTTGTCCTATTTTTTCAGCCCAGACACCGCCTAACGTCTCAACCCTAGTTTTTTGTTAGATTTTTTGGAGTTAGAATGCCAGGTAGCTGACTCTAATACCAGATTCAAAACCAATTGGCAATGAGGGGAGTAACTCATAGAGCTCATATATTGATACTTCTCCCAACACCAATGTGGAATTGCCACTCTTCAATACTCCCTCGCAAGCGCAAAGTATTTTTTCGGGTGGGACTTGTCGTATTTTTTCAGCTCATGCACCGCCTCACGTCTCAAACCTTTTTTTTTGGTGGGCTTTTTGAAGTTCGAATGTCAACGGGCTGGTTCTGATACTATACAAACTCATAGGGTTTCATCCCAAAACCAATTGGCTATGAGGAGAGTAGTCAATGAAACTTATATATTGATACTCAGGGTCTCCTAACACCGATATGAGATTGGAATCTTTAACACTTATAAGGTGGGATCCCTACCGGTAACCTTGAATTTTCTTGGTTCTACTCGGCATGTTTCCAAACACATTGAAACTACTAATAATCCTATAAGAGATTAATAATCAATCTTACTGTCACTAGATACTAGCCTGAAATATCAACTAATAAAATTGAGCAGGACGGAAGTAGGAGTACTTTTTTATTACAATTTTTTCTCAATAAAGTAATTTTAATTGAATTTTGAATTTTTTACCGTCTGAGTTTTGAAATTTGTACTATAGAATATAAATTCAAAATTCAATATTGACTATTTTTATAGGAGGTCATAAAGACTAATACTTTATGAGGTCATTTGGCGTAGACTTTTTTATTTCAAACCCTTTATTTTTACTTTAGAATGAGTAAACTGAGCACCTTTTATTTTTAGTTGTATAAAGTTTGCACTAAAAATGAAAATTCAAATTGGACAAGTATTTTGAGTCCAAATAGTAGTAATATTGAGAAAATTGGTGTTTCGGCTTTAGGTATAGATTACACATTTACACCAATGAAGCCGTTCAAAAAGCTCTGAAATTTTTCCTTTTTTTAAAAAAAAAAAAGTTAGATGGCCCCAACGAGAATCGAACCCTCCACCTCCTGGAGAGTGGCTCGCGGGAACGAATTGAGGATAATTAGAGCATCAATAGCTTTTAGGGGCATGTGTCGCCTCCACGTTTAAGTTTCATTAAATGGTTAAAGTAATTTGGTATACATGTTAATTCGGGTTTTACTATTTTAATGTTTTACTTTATTTATTTTCGAAAAAAATAAATAATGTCATCATTACCTTCTTTAATACGTTTTAAAATTTAAAATATTTAAATTTAAAAAATATATATCAGAATCAAATCTTCCAAATCTCTAATCTTCTCTAATACAATTCATTTAATCTTCTCTAATACGCGTCTCTTCCTCTGTAAATAAGATAAATGTAAAATCATTCACCAAAGTAGGTTTTTTTTTTGCCCTCTCTAATTCTCTCCTCTGTCTCTTACGTCACCCCCCACCGCCACTCCGCTATCGTGACGCCCTTTGCCGCTACCGCCGCCGCTACTGTCATGCCCTCTATCGTCGCCGCCGCTATTGGGAGGTATTAAGCTTCATATCCTATTCTCCATTTCTTCTCTTTTGTTTTTTTATTTCTTTCTGTTTGAATAAAAACTTTCAACTTACGGCATCTATAGGCCAATTTCAACTATTGCAGTGATTGATTTGATTTGACAGTCGCGGCACCGGTAGTGGTTATAGGGAAGGTTTGATTTTATGGGATTGCTTTTGACAAATGATCTAGGGCGGGTGAAAGTTTTTGGCTTTCACTAAAGGTGTTGTGAGTTTTATGTAAATCCAGCTCTGGCAATATGTGATTGCACTATTCTTTCATATAACTCCTTTTTTCTTTTTTTCTTTTTTTTTTTCCTTTTTGGTTTAAAAGGGGATTCATCGTACTTTGTTGTTGTCGAAGATGATGATTGTAAACTTTTTGTGTCGATTAAAATTCGCTCCCTTTCGGTTTTGATTCTTTGTCTTTGCTTTTTTTTTTTTTAATGAAAAAATTGGTTTTTTTTTTTTCATTAAGAATATTCGAGTATGGAATACTATACTGTGGTGGTAAATTTTATGGACATTGATTAAATATTATTCGAATTGCAAGAAAGGTGAGTAAAGCTTATAAGATCCCTACTATTTTGAGTTTCTGTTAACACGTTTTATCTTTCACATATATATATATATATATATATATATATATATATATATTTTCTCTCTTAGTTTACACACCTACGCAACGCATTGGACAAGTAACAGTAAATAATAAAGAAAAAGTCTTATGGACTTAGCATCTACACATGTAATTCAATTCAAGCCGAGCGCATGTAACCCGAAACCAAAATTTGTGATAAAGCCGCCAAATCTTTCCATATTGAGAAAGAGCAAGGAATGCTCTCTAAGAAGATTCTAGGTAGTATGAATAATGAAGGGTCCCATTTGGACAAGCCTTTTTAAAGAAAATAATTAGTGTTACAGATAACGTAGTATTAGAAATAAATCCGAGCAACTTAGGAGACGTATCCTTGGAAGTTACTCAATCCTTTCTTAACTTGGTCCCCAAGAAAGAATCAATTTCGAATATTTGCGTTTAAATAATGGCAACCAAATCTCTTTTGTCGATTTCATACCAATTCATATAAGTCCACAATTATCGTAGACGAATGTCATTAGTAAAACATTTTATTCCAATATCTTTAAACTGTAAATAAATAGAACCCCTTAAGTTCAGATATCTTTGATCAAGAATATTTTAGACCGTATTATTTTCGTTGTTTCACAAAAAAAAAAAAAGCAAAAAAGGAAAAATAATAATAATAAGAAGAAAAAGAAATTTACTCTTCGTTTCCCTTAAATTTTCTAAATTTTCAATAACTCGTTCTACTTTTTGTGGAAATTTAAAGGAATCAAAGTCTTTTCTTAAAAGAATTTCAAGTTAAATTCTCTTTTAAAATCTAAAAAAGGGTCATAGTAGACCAACTTTCTGGACAGCCCCAGAAGATGCAATTTTCAGTTTTCCACAAACATGCATATTTTATTTCAGTAATTGTGCGTTTGCCATTCTGCTGTTCAAATTTGGTTTGACATCTCGAATGCGCGTTGCATTTTTATCACAATAATACAATCGTCTATCTAAAAATTAGAACAAGTCGGTTATTAATTATTTCAAATTATACTAGTTGTCATAACAGTAGATTCACTTCACATGAATATATTCTAGAAAAAATATTTATTTATTATAAAAACCCCTACTTGTTGGTGATTGACAAAGGGTCAAAGTGAAATAAGGACTTACGTAAACAAATTCAAATCTAAATTGTATATTCTACATTAAAAAAAAAAAATTCTAAATGGTGTCATATAGCTGAAAATATAAATAGCTGACAGGGACCAACTTCAGTTTCTCATCAAAATTTATTTAATTCTCTTTCCAGACTCATATACTACTACAAAGAAAATAAAAAATAAAAAGTCGCTATGACATATCGAACCAGCATCGCAAAGTCGGTGATTTCCCAAGTCGGCCGCCGGTACTTCTCGTCGGCGGGTGTTCATCTAATCAACAACCCGGTCAACGGCAAGTTATTGACTGGGGGAATCACTGGATTCTCCCATGGAAACCCATCAAAGGTGGCGGCGGCAGAGTTGAGGTTCCCTGCCCTGTTGAGTGGTTTACGAGAGAAAAGCACTTTGGCCTTGGGAGGGAGAAAGGAGGAAGAAGAAAGGGAAGCCGCCGCTGGTGGCGCAACCGGTGCTCCGGCGAGCGGTGGCGGGAAGGATGAGAAGACCATCGTAAGTTATTGGGGAATTCAGCCCCCGAAAGTTATTAAGGAAGATGGTACTGAGTGGAAGTGGAACTGCTTCAGGGTAACTGAAAAACCTGTTCTTTTTAGCAGATTCTTGCAATCCTTAAGTGTAAAATTGTGAATACTGATTTCTGCATTGTGATTAATGTTTTTGTAGCCATGGGAGACATACACAGCAGATACATCAATCGACCTGACGAAACACCATGCTCCAACCACGTTTTTGGATAAATTGGCTCTCTACACTGTCAAGGCTCTCAGATGGCCAACAGATGTGTTCTTTCAGGTACCGATTGTTCTTCCTTTAGATGATATATAAGCTTTACTGCATCCAAAATCAAAGTTTCACTTTTTAGTCAAATAGAAACAGAGGAAAAGAAATAAACTAAATCAAAGCTCTGTTTCCTGATTTTTTGTGCCTAGAATATAGTCCTGTGTGAGTATATAGGACAGGAAAACAAAATAGGAGCAAGAATTTGTAAGGTTGAAGCATATGATGAAGTATCAATTCTGTTGAAATTGACATTTTTAAGTTTTGCTCTGTTTCTGTAACAGAGGAGATATGGTTGTCGTGCAATGATGTTGGAAACTGTGGCCGCTGTGCCAGGAATGGTAGGAGGAATGCTCTTACATTGCAAATCGTTGAGGCGATTTGAACACAGTGGGGGTTGGATCAGGGCATTGTTAGAAGAAGCCGAAAACGAGAGGATGCATCTCATGACTTTTATGGAGGTTTCACAACCTAGGTGGTACGAGCGCGCCATTGTTGTCGCGGTCCAAGTCGTTTTCTTCAATGCTTACTTCTTGGCCTATATTCTTTCGCCGAAATTCGCTCATCGCGTTGTGGGATACTTGGAAGAAGAAGCCATTCATTCGTACACTGAGTTCCTAAAGGAATTGGATAAAGGCAACATTAAGAATGTTCCTGCTCCAGCAATTGCAATCGATTATTGGAGAATGTCTCCTAATGCGACTCTGCGTGATGTTGTCGAGGTTGTTAGAGCCGATGAAGCTCATCACCGCGACGTTAATCACTTTGCATCGGTACAAAATGGCACTTTTACAATTCTTTTTTTTTTTTATCGTGTTCTAATCATTATGATCAAGTCGGTTTAGTTTTGATTGTAATGTCCAATTTGATTGGTTGCAGGATATACATTATCAAGGGCATGAATTAAAGGCAGCTCCAGCACCAATTGGCTATCACTAATTGAAGAAATGCATGATGAGATGGACAGAATCTGGAGACAACAATGCAGTCAGCAGATAATGATGAGAGTGTTATGGTGCTAACTATACAAAAATTTCTGATTCTGTTTCTTGTTTTAATGTTAAGGATTTTGCGCTGCCAATAAAGATACACTGCACAATATGTATGGATAGATAGTTTTATCTCAATTTTCATCACATCTTCATCTCTGCTTTTTGCTCGTTCTAATTTGGGATTTGGTATTTCATATGGTCTCAAAATGGCAGGGTGAATTGAGTCCCTGCATTCGTTGAGGCTGAAATGGTGGTCCTTTTGTAAGGTTTGGAAAAAAGGGGGTTAATGCTGATTTAAGAATTTCATAAAGAGAAACGGCTCCTGAGGGAGCTGAAGCACAAATTAATGAGACGTCTGTTCAACAACGATGGTGGTGATTGGTGAATGTTGTGACAAAAAAATGTATGGGAAGGTTGTCTGAATCGTCTCTCTGTTGGATCAGAACCCTTGAGCTAGTAACGGTACCGCCACAACTTTTGGAAACAAACAGTTTTGGTGAGCTTATGTCCAAAAATATAATTCATGCTAAGTTTTGAAATTTATATTTTTTTAAAAAAATAATTTCACATTAAATTTTGAAATTTAGACCCTTTTAAACGATAAAATAATTTAATTCGCGCTAGACATATTCAAAGGCTATCATCAAATAGGCATCAATTAAATCTTTTTTAATGCCTCCTCAATCCTCATGGCAACCATCATCACCATATTCTATAGCTAACCATTTCACCAAATTTATATATGACTATGATCATTGATACTGCATAATTGATCCCTTACATTTGACCGAATTTAAATTTTAATTCCCTATATTAACATGCCTTTATTATTTTATTTTGAAACTACTTTGGTCCTTTTTTACTGTTCTGTCCCGACGAACATTGACCCAACCAGGTTAGAGGTATTTTCAGAACATTACATATAAAAAGAAAAATACATATTATAATAATAATGAAAAACTAAAAAATATTATTTAATTATAAAAATATTAAAAAAAAGAAGAAGGGAAGAAACGATAGGATATTAACGGGCCCTATCATTAAAATATTTACAAACATGAAGGGCTGAGATAATAAGACTTCTATTTTTCTTATTTTTCTAGACAAAATAATTTTTTAAATTTTTTAGAATATTAATTTAATGTTGTCTTAATGTTAAAAAATTTAAATGTTGTTTATTGATTATTTGAAATAAATAAATATACTAGTAGACATTTTCCAAAATGTCCATGCTTACTTGAGCAATTGGCCAAAATAACCAAATTTAAGGTACCAAAATAAGAGGAAAAAAAGGCTAAATCAGCTAAAAAATGCAAATGTAAGAGAGCAAACAAGTCTTTCTTTTTTTTTTATAGGAAAATCTAGGGCGAGCATGATTTTATTAATATCAAAAGGAAAATAAAAGAACCATCGTACAAGGAATATCTATAATCCCATGACAGTTCTATTACAAACTATAACTAAGAGCTGTCTTACGAAAAAAATTTATTATAAATCTCATGACATTTCTATTTTTTATAACTATACTAAGACCAGTCTCACGATAGATTTTCCTAAAAATCCTTGACAGCTATGTTGAAATAAATTGCAGAAAACCTGTAACTATTACGATTCCTACAGGTGCTGAAGGAGGTTTTTGAAAGCTTTGAATTATTATTCAACCTGGAAACTTGGAAAAGATTGTTGATCTAGAAGTAAAATACCTCTGAATGCCATTAGCATATCCTTGAAAAGCGGACATTGCATAGTTTTCCCATTTGAAGCTTACTTTGCTAAGTCGTTCCAAGGTATTTTATCTCCCTAAAAATGTGAGTGACTTTCTGGTGTGCATTGCAGAAGGAAATTCATCGATCTCACAAAGTGCTTCTTGATATCTCCATGGTTAGTCTTTCCCTTTGCTTAGGAGATTTATGGCTGTCAAGCTATCTATTTGAACCGTGATTCGTTTGAGCCCTTTCTCTCGACAACTTCTCAGTCCTTGTAAGGTAGCCTCTATTTTCGCTACTTGACTCCTATTTTCTCCCATGTATTTGCATTCTGCTTGGATAAAAGCGAACACCTTCTCCTCTTATTATGTAGCACCATCTTGCATCTCCTAGTGAGCCCAACGCTGAACCATCTGTGTTTAAGATATATTCTATAGGATCCGAGGTGATCAAGCAGACTGACATGATCTTTTTCCTCTCAGGTGCTAAAATCTTTTGATGAAACAGACTTTGTAGTTCCTTTTTTAGGTAAGTCCTGGCCCTTAGCTTATGGACTCTTAACATTCTGCAAATATGTCCTTTAATTTCACTCACAATAAAATCATATGAAAAGTTTTACCTTCGTAATAATGTGAGTTTCGAGCTATCCACAGTTCCCATTGAATGAAAGCAGGAAGTACTTTGAATATTGATTTTCTTGCTGAAGAAAACTTGCCTAGTTCGTGCCATTTTTTAATGAAACTCCACAAACCTACAGAGGGGGTCAATAAAATTCCAAATAATGATGCAAACGCAGGAAGAATGTTTATTATTGATTTTCTTTCTAAAGAGAAGTCGCCTAGTTTATTCCATTTTTTAATGAAACTCCACAAACTTGCAGAAGGGGTCAATTAAAATATAAAAAATGATTCAAAATGTAACCAAACCTAGCTGTATTTCGACATTCCAGAAATACATGTGATATGTTTTCTTCTTTTTCAAGGCAAAAAGGGCACCGTAAGGGACTTAACTACTACCCCATGTTTTGCCATGTCTCCGAGAATGGAACTAACCAGTTAAAAAGCTTCCAAAGAAAGAAGGAAATATTAGAAGGAATCAGTTTGTTCCAGAAAGCATAAAATTGGAGTAACTCCCCTCTTAGGTCGAACTTGATGATATGCGGATTCTATAGAGAAAGATCCCACAGTTGTTGGCTTCTAAATATATTTGTACTTATTCTCAGATTTATCCAGCACCATTGATTCCAGCTGCATGAAGACATGTCTTGGAAGAAGATGTCCAAGATAGTACTGCCGTTGCTGAAAATTTCCCTAACTTTTAGTGATTTGAACGGCAAACCTTGGAGATCATTTATAGTCTTCAAAGGCCATGTTTGAAGCCAAAGATGTAGCATCTCAGCCTCATAGACTGGCCCAATAATTTTCAGGCTTTCACCCTTACTAGCCCAAAATGGTCGACCCAAGTTACTAGTGAGTTTGAGACTTATATACATGTCATTTACTTGATAAAGTGGTGATTGGAGACAGCATGTTACTGGTGATGTCGTTTGGTGTTTGAACCACTTTCCCAAAATAAATATTTATAAAACTACTCAAAACTAATAACTAGTGGTAAGCAGGGTCTTTCCACAGAGACGGCAGTCAACCGCTCAAAATCTGATTAAAGTGCAAGAAAGAAAGAAAATGAATTGAACAGATTGTCACTTGGGAGAGTGAGAATAGTCACTTGACAAAGTGAAGAGGCAGAAGGGTCAATCACCTTCCTACCTTTATGATCCAATTTTGATTCAATATTCCTGTAGTGTATGATTAGTTGTTCGATCAAGCACTTATATTCTTTATAATTCCTTCCAGACAGAATAAAGAGTCCTAGATGATCTAAATCACCTACCTTCCAGTCAGACTAATTCATTAATCTAACCCATCGAGTTCTTAAGCCCTCTTTGATCGCCTATGCTATTCACCGAACTTCCGTTGATATTCGGAACCGCCGGGTAGATTTCTTCCATTGTCATAGACTAGATTAAGCAGTTCTAAGGTTATGCTCCCCCTTCCAGATCTTCATAACCATGCAAGCACATTTAATTAAGTGGCCAAGTTAATTAAAAGGTTAAGTAAATCATTTATCTAGGCACAATACCTCATCAATGAAACTGAATCAAAACTTTCACATAAAGATACTAGGGATTGAACCCTTAACTGAGTTAGCTACTCATGTTTATTGAGTTAAACATGTGAGCAACAGAGTACAAAAGATAAGACATGAATCTAGATCAAAAGGTTAGAGGAAAGAAAGGGAAGATGATAGCAGGGACAGTTTCTGTCTGCTCACTATGGCGAGTGGTGTTCGCCACTTGACAAAGTGACAGTCTGCCTCTTAGTTCCTGCTACTGCCATGTTTCTAACTTTCTAACGAACTACTTAACTACTATCTTTTGGACTAAATCTAACTACCCAATCTATTATTTTTTCTACTGCTATTGGCTGGCTATTTATAGAGATTTGGAGAGGTTTGGATTGGTGGAGTTCTGGCCTTCTTTGTAGCAGGGCAGAGGAGACAGCAAGTTGCAGCAGCTGAAGGCAATGTTTATTCAGCAACTTGCCCAATTGACATGTTGCTTCCTTCTCTGGTTAGCTCCTTCCTTCTTCAGCCGCAAACAGCCATCTTCTATTCATCATTGCTGCTTCTCCTTAGTCTTCTTATCTGGCGCCTTCTCACTATTTGCAGCCACAAATCTTCATTTCTTTATTCTTTATTCCCCACAGCTCAAATTGCAGCAGTCAGTAAGTAGCAACAGCAGCAGCATGCTTCCTTCCATCATTGTGTCTCCAGCCCCCAATTCAGCCTGAATCTTTTGCCCTTTTCTTCCTTGTTTCCTGGGTCACTGATAATGGTTAAATTGTTACATAAAAGCATCACACTTAACTTTGTATTTGATGAACAATTGGGGTTATTTCCTAACATTGGTGCAATTTACTTAGCTCATTTTTATATTATTGTTAGGAAAGGACCGGACTATAATTGCTGAAAATTGGAAGCCAAAGGAGCAAATTATGGACTGCTGAGGCAAGGGTGCTGAGCTGGACGAAGAAGGAGGGTCTTAGACAAGAAGCATCTTGTCATTAATGGCCTTGCCTCCTCCTAAAGGCATGCTTGTCCCCCAGCCGTAATCCCAGCCACCACTGCTGATCAATGAGAGCAAAATGGCTGCTGCTGGAAGAGAGAAAAGGAACGGCCAAGTTGGATTGAAGGCTCAAGACATTGGGAGGATTAAACAACTCCAGGCATGGGGAGGTTCTCATGATGAAGACACCGGCTGCAAGGCCCTATAAGAGGGGGCACTGCACTCTCAATGAGGGAATCTCAGTCTCTGGTTAGCTTCTCAGTGGCAAAAACACTCAAAAAACTCTAGGTAGAAGACAAGAAAGAAGAAGAAGCAGCAACAACTCAGAGAGGAAGCCAAGTTGAAGAATAGCAACCCAGTTTCTTCTTCAGTTCCACGAGTGAACCCCTTCACTCCCAGGAGTGACTCAGAAACTGCACCAGCTTTCTCCTCATCTTTTGACTGTTAGCTTGAATTTTGTTTACTATGCATACTTCTATGATGTCTTTCGATGTAGTAGATGTAGCATTAATCTGTATGAGTAGCTAAACAGTTCCCAGGGGTTATTCTCCTCAACTGATGTTGTAGTTGTCAAAGCACTGGTTTTGTTCCTTGTTTTATGGTTGAAAGTTTTTCTACATTCATTTACTTGATCACTAAATTGAATGCATGCTAGAACTAAGGGAGATCTGGAAGGATAAACTTGGTCTGGATTGTTTCAACTTTAACTTATGACATAGAGGTAACAGTCTATGGTTTTAACTAAGATAGGAATATATTTAGTTAACATA